AGCGTTAGCATGGTAGCGTTAGCATGGTAGCGTTAGCATGGTAGCGTTAGCGTGCCGACGTGGGCACACCTCCCTGAAGAAGTGGGTGGATTGCCTGTGTCTCATTTGCATTTAAAGAGACAGGCACTCCAAAGCGAGCGCTCTGAACGGGGCTGTTTTGGGTTAGGGTTAGGGTTAGGGTTAGGGTTAGGGTTTGGCAGGGGGACTGAACTGCTATTGGGCTTCATCCTTATGGGATTCTGACCAAAGCTTGTCACAGACATTACATTAGGACACCAGGGAACTAGCTTAACTTGTTGAAATAGGGTATGATATGTCTCCTCTAAAGTCTCAGCTTCCTGTTGCAGATTAAAGCGTGCTCCCAGATTACGGGCCAAAACGGCGGCAGATACTACGGCGTGGATTTGCGAGGGGTTGAGGAGGGATTTAAAACACCATCTCTGTGCTGGGATGAGGCCGAGGCTGCGTTGCTAGGTAGAAGATGATGGGATTTATCAGACGGCGCGTGAGCAGATGTGGAATAAGGGGGGCGTGTTTGGTCCAGCCTCCAGCCGGATTCTGACTACTCAAATCTTAATAAACAGGCTTTATTATACCTCAATGGTACAAAAATAAACTCTGTAGTAAAACACAATGTGTAACAACCAGTAACAAAATGATAGCCCTCCTAAAATGCATCAATAAAATCAAATAATGTTATAAATGTGAATTCTTATGGATTAGAAAATGCAAGTTAAACAAACTACATTACCCTACTTTAAAAGACATGAATAAATAAATCAAATACTGTTCTAAATATGACCTTCTGTATTAGAAAATACAGCTTCAACAAAATACCTCTTAACACCTCTTAATGTAATAATATAGTAAATGTAATAAATTATTTAATGTAGTAAATAATGTAGTAAATAAATAAAACAGTCAACAAACTAAAAGGATCTTTACTGAGTTTAGATCTCTTTTAGTCCCACTTGTCATTTTTGATGCAGTTTGTCTTGTTTGGACATTTTGTCTCCAGTGCTGGTTGCTCTGCTTCCTGTGTGTGTGTGTGTGTGTGTGTGTGTGTGTGTGTGTGTGTGTGTGTGTGTGTGTGTGTGTGAGTGTGTGTGTGTGTGTGTGTGTGTGTGTGTGTGTGTGTGTGCCCCTGTAAACTCACCACAAAGGTCGGTCCCCAGAAAGCATGGCCTGGTATTGTGTCCCCACAATACAAAAAAGACAAGGATAAGTGTGTGTGTGTGTGTGTGCAAAGTGCCAGTCGATTTAACCCTGCAATGCCAAATGTTTCATATTTGATACGGTTTCTGAAATGTTTTGCGTCTGATACCTTTTGCATAATTTAGTGGTAAAAACTTTGCATAGTGATATATTATTAATATTAAAAATTTATTTCTGTTTTTTCTTTTTATATATTTTGTTAAAAGGCCAAAGGCCAAATAAGGATCAGGCTTTAAAGGGTTAAAAGCCCCCAAAAAACAGTTTTAAAGGCCAAAAAAAACGCTCTAAAGGCCCAAATTTTGTCATTTTGGGAATTTGTGTTCTTCCTCCAGGTGAAACAGTTTTTGGAGGCTATGTCCTTAATGGAGGATGTCCAGAAAAACCCCAAATGTCCCGACCAGACCAGAATCTGAAAGTCCAGGCTGCATGCAGAGCTTGTTGTGAGCTATCTGAAGCTTTTTGTCACATCTGACAGCATCTGTGAGTCATCAGATACACAGAAGCCCTGTGGATCTTTGGCCATTATCTGAGAATGCTTTCACTCATGTCACAGTTGTTATGTGACCAGAAATGCTGCTGCATGCTTCAGTCTCATCGTTTTGGTGGTTTATCAACAATAAATTCTGTCATTTTATGCATCATTTGGGAATATTGGGCGGTAAATTGTCGGTAATTCTAATTGGTGCAAGTTTTGGATCGCTTCAGAGCTCATCTTTGGCCAAATAATAAAAAATTAAAGCCTCATTTTAGACATTTCAAGCAAAGCCTCGTTGCTATTTTTTTTTTTTTTACAAGAAACATTCAGGCACATCATTTCAATTTGGAGCAGAAGTTAGAACAACATACTTTCATTTGTCCAAACTGGCGACTCAAATATTAGCCAGTGCTATCTAAAGCTTTAAACGCCCCCCAAAAAACAGCTTTAAAGCCCACAGACACAGGAGAACATGCAGATTCCACCCAGAAAGGTCCTGGTTCCAACGGGACTAGAACCCAGAACCCTCTGGTCCTGGTTCCAACGGGACTAGAACCCAGAACCTTTTTGCTGGGAGGCGATAGTGTTAACCACCACACCGCCATGCCGCCCAATTAAGTTAAACCAAACCAAAAAAATACAAAATACAACGTGAAAATTAAAAAAAGAACATACAAAAGACACAAAAAATAAAACATTTGATGATGTGACAAACCCATATATTTAGGTTTGATGTAGATATCTTTTTTTTTACCAACATATTTTTATTGAGTTTTTAAACTTTGGACATACAAGCATGAGGTTATTTGAACAGGTTCTCTTTGTAGTCATTACATGACAGTAATTATTTTACTCAACCCAGAGAAA